ACTGGCCAGCCATCTGGGCCTGGAGCCGTGTCGTTCTTCATACCCGCAAGCGCACTGTCAATCTCCTGGGCCGAAAAGGACACCATTAAGGCGTCGTTTTCCTGCTGCGAAACTCGCTCGTGCATACCCATTAAGTCTTCCCTTAGACTTAGATTCTTAGCCTCAGTTGTTCCCAACAGCTCAACAAAGAAGTCAAAGATGTAGTTCACTATGTCGTTCTGGGTGATCAACGTCCCACGCTCTGACTGAAGCCTAAGGATAGTACTCTTGCGTTTGCGTCCGTTAGCGTACACGTGGAAATATCCTATGTTGGCATCACCTTTCGCGACCCACTTGACACCACCCCTACGGCGCCAATATTCCTCCTCCGCCCTGAGAATAGCCAGGACCTAATGTTCAAGGGAGTATCTAAGCTCCCATTCGTCACCAGAGAAGGTTCTTACATCCGCCTGCGAGTCGAGGTGGGCGATATCAGCCATGATGCGCACCCTCTCCCTTTTGGACTCACTACCATGATTAGCCCCCCAGCCCCTAAGGAAAGCTCGCAAAGCCGCAGCCGCAGAGGACCAGAACTCTACTGGTCCTCGTTGGCACCCTATCTGGTTGCCAATCACGGTCCAGCGATTTGTGACAAGCTGGCTAAAACCCTCATGTTCGAACCAAGCTGTCTCAAAAAAGAACCTACGGCTGCAGCGCACGTTATCCTCCCCTGAGGACAGGATCAGCGGAACGTGGTCAGATCCTATGCGCGTTTCCGCCACTAAGGTGCAGAGGGGAAACATCGCCTCCCAATCACTAGAGCAGAATACACGGTCGAGAACGCATCGAATAGGCCCTCGTTGCTTGTTAGTCCAAGTGTATCTAGCCCCAGTACGTGCAATCTCTCTAAGGGCAGCGGACGTAATGGCATTATTGAACAGGGACACCCTAGCCCAGTCGATATTGTTGTTGCTCTTGTCCGCCCCCGAGCGGATCAAGTTGAAGTCACCTCCCACCACCACGGGTAGATTGGACGGTTGTTTGGCCCCCACCATTGCTGTGATTTCTCCCAAGAAATCAGCGGACCTCACATGATCTGCCGGCCCATAGACACTCGCGATCACCCAAGAGGCTTGGGAGACCCGGTGGCAAACAGTGGCAGCTATGTAGAACGTACCGGCCTCCCACAGAATAACCTCGCACACATCCTTGTTGCAACCCATCAGTTGACCCCCAGAGAGGCCCACGGACGGAGTCCAAAACCAATCGAAACGCTGGAGCGGATCATACGCCAAAAGGTCTCTAAAAGAAAAATCGGCCTTAATTGTCTCCTGAAGCGCAACGAAGTCAATGTGTTCTTTGGACATGTACTCACGGAGCTGCGTGCGACGCCCCCCGTGCCCGCAGCCGCGGATATTCCAGAAAAAATATCACATCAAATGATCCTGTTACGCAGGCGGACTCCATGGGAGGAGACCGCCTTGGCCACTTGCTTCCTAGCCGGCATTCGACTGGAAGAAGGCAGGTCCGAGGCCACCACGGCCTCGGCTCTCTCATTGGGCAAGGCGACAGCACCAGCCCCTACTGATGCAGCGGCCGGGTCGTCCACTGCCTGAGCAGCCACGCACCTGGCGGCTGCTTCTGCGAGGGCGGCCTGAGCTTCTTCGTGCGCACGAACTAAAGGAATCAGATCCAAAGACGAGGAATCTAGCGCTGCGCCACTATCATGAAGAATCTCGGCGAGATGCTCATCGGAGAAAGCATTCAGAATCTTAAAGGAAGGGGAAGGATTACCTGTCGTGTCCATGTTCTTGTCAGCAGCACGGAGCTTGGCACTTTCCAGAGAGGTCATGTCTCCAAGCTTGGCCTTGGCGCGAGCGCTAGGATCCCGAGACGACACCGGAGTTGCCCTTGTACGCTTGGCCTCGGCTGTCGGCCCTGGCGCCACCAAAGCCGCGCCCAGTTCACCTCCCAGCGCCGTCACCGATCCCGCAGCATCCGAGGCCACCGTCTTGTTCCCTGCCTTCCTCCCTGCGGTCTTCTTGGCCTGACGACCGGAGCCACTCGACAGGCGCCTGTCCGAGGCCGGAGTTGGGTCCGAGTCCATGAGGACGCAGTCCAGCCCCGAGCCCCCACCGCGAGGTGGGGAGCCCGGCATGGCCTCGTTCTCCAAAGCCACTAGAGAGAGAGGAAGAGGCGCACTCGGGGCTGGCAAGCTGGAGCCGAGGACCTCGAAGGACGGATCCAGAGAGCGGGCGAGGGGGGTAGGCTGACAGCCGTGTCTTGAGTAGTGATCACACCCAGCTTTTCCCATGTCTCAGTGTCAATAGAAGTGTCTTGGATGCTGTCTTCGTGCTCGTCCGCCAGCTCGCCCATCACCACATCTTGGCCCCCCACCTTCGCGTCGGAGCCGGCTGCATCCTCCTGGGACGTCACCGTCGCAGGTTTGGACGCCCCAGTGACAGCAGCCTTGGAAGAGTTGCCCGCGGGTGGCCCCTGCTTGCTAGAACCGCCCTTTCCCTGCTGGCTGTCTGGCAGGGGAGCGGAGGGACCCGCCCCCGAAGCTCCACCACCATCACCCAGCCTCCTCGGCATCCGTTCCAGCTCAACCTTAATCTGCTACCCTTCGTGATTAAACCAGACCTCCACCGTGCCATTCAGCCCTGCCGGCGTCTTGCAAGCCAATTTCATCCTCACCGGACCCAACTTAATGAGGGAAAGCTCATCGACCACTATCGGCCTGCCCAGCATCTTGAAGGCCTCCTTGATGCGCTCGATCTTGCGGTGCTTCTCAGGGATCCTGTGGAGCCGCACCCACGCTTCTGGCATCACCATCGGGGGAATCACCTCATGCACCACATCCCGCACCCTAGCAGTGATGTCATTAATGGAGAGAAATAATTTGCCACTAGTCCGGGCCATGTGAAGAAGATCTGCGAAGGGGAACACCACCATGAAGTCATCCTCGCCTACTTGCGTGACTTGCCAATCCCAGTCCCCCGTGACCATGTGCTTGAGCTCCTGCTTGAGGACCCTCAGGTTTAGGCGGCCCGGCTCCGCGGAGAGGATAGCCACGTTGCCCACCGAGAGCAGCCGAGGGCCCTCCAGATCTTCCTCCTCTTCGAACTGCAAACAGAAGAAGCCCCCCCTGCAATTGCACTGCCCATTATCTGCAGACTTGGCTGTCGGCCCCTCGTCGGGCAGTGCGCGAAGGCATGTCCCTCCTCCTTGCAGAGCACGCACAGAGGCTGGAATTTGCATTTGGACTGGAAATGGCCAAGTCTCCCACACTTGAAACATTCCACATCCAGAGCCTCCGACACGTCCTCCACCGGAATGGGCTCGCCAGCGGTGCCCTTCGCACCAGGGGGAAGGGACACAGCCAGGGGTTCGGTCGTCGCCCTGGCCTTCTTGGCCAACGGATCCCCATGGCCACCACCGTAGTTGGGAAGATCCGCTGGCTTGCGCTCCAGCTCCCGACGCCGAGCCAACTCCTTCTTCTTCTTTCTTCTTTCCTGCTGCTGAATCCACCAGGGGGGAGGAGGACCCCAATCCCCCTCGCGCCCCTCTGGCTCATAGTTCCTCTCAGATCTGCCACCCGATCTTGCTCGCTGCTCCTTCTTCGCCTTCTCCCGCAGATCTCGCTCACGACGCCGCTCCCCATCAGAGATCGGGGGCTCCATGGGCCTCTTCTCCACGCGCCGCCCACTCATCACCGTCGCCGCAAAGGAAATGGAGAGAGGAGGAGGTGGGGAAATGAGGTGGATGGATCTGGCGCGGTGAGCCCAGCGCCGCACCTCCGATCTAGATGCGGGAAACCCTAGCGAGGGGGCGAGGCAGCCGCGGCGCACCCATAAATAGGAGCCAGGGGTGGGCCGGGGCCGAGGCAGGCCCGACGCGGGCTGGACGGCACCAACAGGCCCACAAACCGCCAGCCTCCCACTCCCACGGGGCACGCTGTCCCCCTCGAGACTCGGGCCTCCGACACCAGCCGAACAGGACACCTGGGCCGGCCCATCTGGCCCACCACGGCCCCGGGCCCAACACTGCCAACCCTAGCCCTCGGAGACGCTGCGACGCCCTCCGCCGCCTCCTCCGCCGCCCGACCGGCTCCCGCCAGCGACGGTAAGCACGGCCACTCCACCTCCGAGTCCACCGGAGCGAGAAGCGCAGCCGCCGTCCTTGCTCAGATGCCCCGAGAGGCACCACCAGGGGACGACGAGCCCCTGCCCGTCGACATGGAGGGCCGCCAAGCTCTGACCTCGACCGCGCGCGATCCCCGGCCCCCTGGAGCGAAGCGGCGACGCGCCCCCGCGGCGCCAGACCCCGTCGCTAGCGCACAGGCCACGAAATCGCCGGGGGACGGCCTCGCCGGCACCAGGTTCCCCTCCCTAGTCACCGGATCCACCTCCTCCTCATCCTCCGACTCGCCCGCAGCCATCGCCGTGAAAGTGATAGCTACGTATTAAAGTTTTCATGGTCCATCATTTTGGTCAATCCAGCGAGGTTAATTTGCTGACAAGATGTGTAAATAAAGCTGTAAAAGAGCCCTAGTTTTGTCCGCTCACGAGATTAACAATGACAAATCACCTTTATAGCTCACACGTTTACAGCTCACACTGCACGCCGGGGCCCGCGCGGCCATAAAACCGTTCGCACTGCGAGCCACTGCCAAGATCCATCTCAAACGTCCGAACCACCCAGGCACGGATCTCAACGCACCCGGCATGACTGCCTGATCGGCACCGGACGGGCACGGCAACTTGGACTCGATCGGAGCCATCCACGTTTCGATCAAACGGTCCTTCTCCCCCTCTCAATTTCCCTCCATCCGCCAAGCCCACGCCTATAAATGTCCCCCACCACGGTCGCCTTCCCAGTAGATCCGCCACTTCCCATCCAATCCTGCGAGCACCCGATCATCAAAACCAAACTGCGCACCGATTGTTGATCACCCTCGGTCCAATTTTGGCCTTCCAAATCCAATCGATCGCCCGCCTAGCCAAGAATTTGAGTTCAAGATGGGCAACTGTTTCCACACAGCGCAAGGTCGTCGCGGTGTCGACACCAAGAAGAGCGCGGTGCCGGAGGAGGAGGAGGAAGTTACTCCGCCGGTGAAGGAGGTGAAGATCAGGATCACGAGGAAGCAGCTGGAGGACCTGCTGCGGCGCCTCGACCAGGAGGACGGCTGCAGCGGCGCCGTCATCTCGGAGCTCCTCTGCATGACGAGCAGCTCCAATTTCCGGCACAGGGGGCAGACCGCACAGTGGACGCCGGCGCTGCAGAGCATACCGGAGTGAGAATTCATCCTCCTGCCGCTACATACATATTGCTAGTTATACGGGCGGTGTATTTAGTTAGTCAACTACTGGTGTGCTAGTGTATTATTGTCATTATAAATCCTGCTCGGAACGCACAAATTGTGACGATCCTTCATTCCTGGTATGTAGGTCTGAGAATAGATGAGCTTGAGATAATCTATGTAATTAAAGTAAATAAACTCGTTGTGCGTTTTAGACAGTATGGTGACATGTAGAAATATCAATATTTTAAATAGCGCGCTACAAAATATAGCGAGGCCCTTCTCTAAATGCTACACAAGTTATAGCGCGCTAACAGCGTGCTATATTTCAAAATAGCATTTGCAAAAAAAAAAATCAAAATATCTAGAAATAAAGTATTTAAGCAACTAAATTTTTCATAGGAGCAAGCAATATATGCATATGATAAAAGGAGTGAGAAAGCTAGTGGGAGAATCTGATAAAAGAAGTGAGAAAGCTAGTGGTCATGGGTTGATTTTGGCCTGCTGGGCCTGTTGGGCTGTGCTTATTTCAGTTTTGCATGATATGCACGTTATAACGTTACAACGTTACAACGTTATAGCGTGTGTAGCGCGCTAATTACGCGATTAGCGCCGTAGCGTCTGATTTTGCCAAAACGTAACGTCTCCTTTCCAAATATGCTATAACCGCGTTATAACGGCAAAATAGCGTGTTATTTAAAATATTGAGAAATATACATATACATAAGTGAATGTAAATCGAGAATTGGTAGCTGGGAAGTCTAGGAGGGCTCCTTCCATTGCTTGCTATGTTTGATTCTGATATACTGGCTAATTACTTCAGCTCCTTAATTTTAGCTGAAGATATTTTCTGTTCTTGGATTATGAATCATTGACCCATCTCGAGGGAATTTTGTTGAAAGAAAAATCGATCAAGATACCGGCAGGCCGAGTGGCATTGCAACTAGGAGTATGAAAATGAAGTAGGAGTAAAATTAGCATGCGGTAGTGGCTTGGTACGTGCTGTCTCATATGCTTGTCGCTGTTTGATGTGTCTTGGGCAATTCAGCGCCTCGTAAGGCAAGTGCGTGCGGACGTGGCTGCTATGCTGTTGCGGGACATGGTGATCGACTGCAGTGGTTGAGATGCATGGTGATCCTCCACTCCGTAAGAGCGTTTCCGATGTACTCCTTGATTAGTCTCGGCTCTAATGGTCAAGCTTTCTAATGATGTTTTGCACCCGCAAGAAAAAGTCCCCTTTTGGATTCTCATGTTCTTCCTTATGATCAAGTTCTCTGTCGAGTTGTTGCCACCACGTTCCCTTGCTTCTCCAGGCATTATTTTCTTTTGTTTTTCCAGGCACATGCGTCGTTTCTGAACATATTTAGGCAGTAGACTTTTTTTCCAGAGAAACTCGGGAGTGGACTTTTGGTTCTCCAAGTAATATATAGTCACCTTCTGCACAGATGCTCCATAATAATACTAAATCGGCCCAGACGGTGTTGACTTTCAAATAGGACTTCATTTTCCTATTGAAATCTCTAAATATCCGTTTTTGAAAGAAAAATGAAATACAATGTAAATATCGCGCTCTAGAGCCAACACAGATCTACATGTAATCAGTATGATGTGAAAGAAATATAATTAACTGCATATGTTGCCTGATGAACGACTTTCTAGTTAATCCATGGATTGGACTTGGCACTTGGCATCGATGGTTCAACTCATCTTATCATTTCCGTAGAGATGTTATGTGATCAAATAATTGTTACGCCGGAAAGTTGACATGCTCATGCGCTGATGGATGCACAAACGTCACATAGTTGCATGCGTGTGATTATCTTGTTGCTGCCGCTTGCTGACACACATGCGCTCGAAGCTCGCTCTCGGACTGTTTGGCATCTGACCAGGCTTTATCCTGCCTACGTAGCATCAAGTTGATAGTAGTAGAATCGTAGATTCAATGAGTATTGAACTTTCTAATTGAGTGCCCTTGGACGAGAATTATTTGGGATTCTATTGCTACCCTCACAAATATCCAATTGCTGAAGCCGGCCTCTTGGAGCAATGCTACTGACATCAAGGAGTGGATGAATAGGTGTCACTTGCAGGCACCCAGTGGGAAGAAAAAAGGCACACTCTTATTGATCCGTCTTATTGCCTCGGAACTGTGACGCGGGCGAAACAGACGCATCTTCCAGCAAGAATCACTGCCTTCCACGGTGATGGTGCAAAAGATTAGAGATGAAATCATCCTTTGGAACATGGCTGGAGCTGGTATACCGTTCGACCCAGGCTGAGGAAACGGCAAAGCGCGAGACGCATCTTCCAGCAAGAATCACTGCCTTCCACGGTGATGGTGCAAAAGATTAGAGATGAAATCATCCTTTGGAACATGGCTGGAGCTGGCATACCGTTCGCCCCAGGCTGAGGAAACAGCAAAGCGCACGCATTTTTCTTTCTTTGTTTCTCTCTCTTGTTTTGGTTTTCCTGTTGCTTGCCTGCTTGGGATTTTCTGTACTTTGTACTTGGCTTTCTCTGCTGATCAATGAATTTGGTACTCAACTACCAACATTCCAAAAAAACAGTACTGAACCGTACAAACTTACAACATCTACAGCAAGACTTGGCAAATCCGGCCCCTCAAACATCCGCGGACGCGCCAGGACGCGTCCGCGAATAGTGACTGGGCACCCCTTAAATAATATAATTCACATTCGGACACCTCAATTATTATATCTCATATCCATACAAACAGTGGTGGTGCCAGGATCCAAACCTTGTGATGTCAAGATTTTGGTAACGAAAAAATTTATACACAAATTAAACAGTGACAAAAAAGTCATACTTTAGTATAGATATATTTCTGTAGTGGACCTTTTGGATCATGCATGTTTTGATATGTATGCATAATATAAACTTTACTGAAAGTTGACATCTTGAATCCTAACAAGCATCAATCTCTTCTAGTTCCTAGTATAGTAGTATTCATCGTAAGAAAAGAAAATTAGAAGAGGTTCCTAGTCACAAAACGCTGCCGGCTAGCCGGAGGTTGATGCGCCTCATGCCCTCAAATGTCGCATCTCCATTTTGGAGAGATTTACACGGGAAGATGAAACAGCGGAGAAATTCAACTGTGGAAGGATAAATCACGGGATTAGTAGATCAACCAATCTAAGGCTTCCTTTGCTAGTTTACTTCTTTTTGCCCAGCCAAACGTTACCCATAACAGATGACAAGTGGGCCTTGTTGTCAATACTCAGAATATGTTTATTCAGCAGCTGAGTACACATGCATGGGGTCTTTCACTTCCCAAATCCCTGTGTAGTCAAGCGACTGCACAGCCACAACGTGGCTTCGCCACTATATACAAACTCATGCAACTACGTTGATGTATACACATCGCCGATTAATCCATCAGTACTAACTAAATATGCCATCGGACTATCAGAATTTGGCATATTTGGTCATGGTGGAGTTCATCCACGGCTACCCTCGCCCTTCCCGGTGCCGTTGTCGTCCTTTTCACGGAAGTACCGGTCGAAGAAGCAGTACGGATCGAGCCGGATTTGCTCATCGCCACTGTTCGCCTTCTCCTCCTTCGGTGGCAGTCCGGCCATGACACGAACCGTCCGATTCTGCTCTCGTGCGATGTCGCGCGTGTTCCTCCGCTGCCATTTCTTCACAATGCGGGAGCGGATGGCTTCCTCCTTTGCGGCCGCCCGCACCGCCGCATCCGCCGCCGTCATTTTCGTCATGATGCGGGCCTCGGCGGCCCATATCCTCTCCTTCCCATGACGGTCCGCCCATTCCTGGTGGGACTCATAGTCAACCCGACCGGTGATGGGGAAGGAGAGGTGTTTCGGCTACGGGGACCGCGAGGGTCCAACACCAGAGGACCTGAGCACTCGCCGAGCCGACGCTTTGGCGTCGCGGCCGACGGTCGGATCCAAATTCTATTCGCCGCTGGTTAAAGGCAATTTTCCTAACCGGCGCCTGCAACAGCGTAAGAAAAAGGGTTCTCTGCTGGGATTCGAACTCGCAACCCCTTCGTTCAGGGCAAACCGTACTAACTATCTTGGCCATCGGTCAACATCTGCTGCATTTCTTCTTTTTCCACTTTTTCATCTTTCACTCAGTGCGCGGGAGTCCCAGTTTGGATTTTTTTTCACTTGTTTTCTGGGCTGGGTTCCGGGGATTTTCTTTCCCGGTTTTCTTCCATTTATCTGATTTCTGTTTTTCTTTTTCCTTTTTGTTTTTCTCTCTTGTTTTTTCGTTTATCCCTGTCTCTTTTTATTTTTCATATTCAATGAACTTTCAACAATTCGATAAACTATTTTCCAAAATCGACAAACTTTTTCAAAATTGATGAACGTTTTTTCAAATTCTGTAAATTTTCTTCAAGTGCGATGAACTTTTTAAAAAATTGATTAACTGTTTTCGAAACAAATATGATATTTTAAATTTTGATGAACTTTTTTGTTAGATCGATGAACTGTTTTAAAATTTGATGAACTTTTTTAAAATGGACGAACTTTTTTAAAGTCGATGATCTTTTTTTGAATTCGATGAACTTTGTTCAAATTAGATGAGCTTTTTTGAAATGCAATGAACGTTTTTTAAAATCGATGAACTTTTTTCAATTCATTGCACAATTTTTCCAGATTCGATAATTTTTTTTATATTTCATGAACATTTTTCAAAATCAGTGAACTATTTTCAAATTCAATGAACTTTTTTATAATTTGATGAACTTTTTTCGAAGTTTATGAACATTTTTTTAGTTTTGTTAATTTTTTGAAATCGTTGAACTTTTTTTCAAGATTTTGGCGAACATTTTTTGATTTTTTTTGTGAAGTATTTTTCAAAATTGACGAACTTTTTCAACATCATTGAACTTTTCTTGAATAGGGCAAAGTTTTTTAGCATGTTCCTGAACCTTTTCCGAAATCTGTGAAGTTTTAATTTCTTTAAAGAAAATCATGTAAGAACGGCTATAATATGTTTTATTGCTTTAGC